ACCAGACCGGTCCTGTGGTTCTACAGGAGAACCAGACCGGTCCTGTGGTTCTACAGGAGGACCAGACCGGTCCTGTGGTTCTACAGGAGGACCAGACCGGTCCAGTGGTTCTACAGGAGGATCAGAGCAGAACATACCTGACTGGGCCATCACGGTTCCGATCAGCAGAAGCAAAGAAAACATCAGAACAGACCCGTTTCCCATCTTGGACTCTGAGCTCTCAGGACCCGAGCAGGTGTGAAGAGATCCACTCAGTCTGAGAGTCTGTGGTGAGTGTGGTGGACCCGCGGGTCGGTTCTGTTAATCAGTAACTGTTATTACCTGCTGTCTGAGCAGCAGCAGGCTTCAGCTCACTCAGCCATTCTTCTAAGTTCTGGAGAACACGGATGACCTCATGGAGGTCCAGATGTGCCGTTGCCATGGAAACCAGAACACTGTCTTCTGCCTGTGTCATCAGATTTTACAGAGTCAAACATTGACATGTGGTTCTGGTCCACGTTTCACACGCACATCTCAGAGAAGGCGGTCCTTTGATGTCTCAGGAAACAGACCAAATATGGGCGTCAGCCACAAACAGCATGAACAAAAGTGACAGGAAGAGAAAATGTTTCAGGTTCTGACCAAACGAAGAACAGAGATTCAGTTCTTTAGATCCACCCAACAGTCGGGACTCATTTTGGGTGGACTGTGTCCTCCTGATAGATTAAAAGAGGTTCTGGACCCCAGGCCTGCTCTCAGAGCGGTTCTGTGCTCCAGTCCTGGGTTCTGTTTCACCTCCACTGTGTCTGCTGAAAGCTCACTTTTACATTCTGAATATAAAACGGCACGAGTTCACGTTTTATTTTAATCTGTTTTCTGAGCCTGGTCTGGGACTGGACCTGCTCGGTCCAGATCTTGGTGTGCAGACATCGATGCATCATGTTCCTCCTGGGCCTCAAACACCAGCGGCTCTCAGGTCAACTGTTGAACAGAAATGAGGATTTTTCCTCTAAATTCTGAATCAACTCATTAAAACGTCACAAACTGGCTGTTTGGTCCGAGTGTCACTTTGTGAATGAAGAAATGATGCTCAGAGTCGCCAGTCCATGAGTTTTATTAATGAATAGTTACAGGTTTTATTACAAAGTTTTATTATGAAGCTCAGTTTGTTTATGGCTCATCTGAACGCTGCTTCATCTGTTGATTTTTCAGTGGGATTAACCGGTATAAATAAAGGCTGAATGAATTTTCATGAAGTAGATTTAATCTGAGGCCATGGGCCTCAACCGGAACAGGGTGGATTACTCTTCAGGTTGAGGTTCTGCCAAGAGTTCAAGTATCTCGGGGTTTTGTTCTCAAGTGAACGTGAGACTGACAGATGGATTGGTGCAGCATCTGCAGTATTGTGGACTCCGTGCCGGTCCGTTGTGGTGAAGAGGGAGCTGAGCTGTAAGACAAAGCTCTCAGTTTACTGGTCGGTCTACGTTCCTCTCCTCACCTCTGGTCATGAAATCTGGTAAGGATGCTCCCTGGACGCCTCCCTAGGGAGGTGGTTCGGGCATGTTCGACTGGGAGGAGACCTCGGGAAAGACCCAGGACACACTGGAGAGACTACGTCTCTCTGTTGGTTTGGGAACATCTTGGAGTCCTCCCAGAAGATCTGGAAGAGGCTGTGGAGAGAGATGTCTGGACCTCCCTGCTCAAGCTGCTGCCCCGAGATGAGAACAAGAGGAAGATGATGGATGGCTGGATGGATGGATTTAAACTGAACATTTCAAAGAAACTTTATTTCTGTTTGTTCTCTAAAGACTCAGACGTTTGTTTTATCATAAAATCGAAGCCTCCGTTCATCTTCTATAAAAGAGTTATGTTTTCTGTTCATTGCTGTAGGTGTTTAAATATTTTAGTTTCTAATTCTAAAGGATGTTAGCTGCAGTTTGAGTTCTGACGTTCTACAGCAGAACACAAGTGGGGGATGGTTTGGTTCTGAGCATGCTCATGACGTTCAGGTTGAACTGGGCTGGGTTGAAGTCCCGCAGATCCGACACACAGGTCTGCTGCCCGTCCCGGTTCTTCTCCCTGGAGGTGACCCGGTACTGGGCCTTGACACTCCTCAGGGGGTTGTAGTCCGGTCTGATTTGGTCCGGACAGCGGAACGTCTCCCTGATGATGGAACCGAGCTGAGACAACGCCACAAAGCCATTCCTGAACGTCACCATGCGGACCACGGGCGAGTAGATGAACTGGACGCACAGCAGCTTTCCTGACGAGAAGAAACCCAGGACGATGGTTACAGAACCAGACAGAAACTGGTTCAAAGCTCAGAAACTCAACCAGAACAGTTTTACCTGAGGTCGTGTCCCAGACTTTGATGGTCCTGTCCTGAGACCCCGTGAAGACGAACTGGTCACTGTCAGAGAAGGCAGCGCAGAGGACGCCCTCAAAGAACAAACCCTGACCCGAAGAGTTTAAAGAACCATCAGAGACAGAAAGGTTCCAGATCAGCACAGATTCAGACCATGACCTCTGACCTTGTACTCCATGGTGTGGTCCAGGACCAGTGGATCCAGCGCCCACAGTCTCTGCACGGCGTCCTCAGACCCCACCAGGGCGTGAGCCCCCCAGTTACTGGCCGTCACGCAGGTGATTCTGCTGCGATGAGGCTGCAGGTCAGAACCTCCACCGCTGCCGAAGTCGTGCAGCTTCACCGCCCCACAGCTGGTCCCGTACAGCAGCCTGCGTTCCGGCAGCAGGGCCATGGAGGACAGCGGGGCATGGAGGAGCGACAGCGTGGTCCTCCCTAGGGGTCCCTCCACCGTGGGGAAGCTGTCTCTGGTGGTGACCTCGAACAGACAAACCGAGTCCTCGTAGGCCACCGCCAGGTGCTTCTCCTGAGAGCTGACGGCCAAGCAGAGCACCCGGGACCGGCTCTCCGGCGGTGGGATACAAAGTGTCTCCTGGGGGAGGGTCAGTGGGTAGATGAGGACGGTGCCGCTGGTCAGACCGCAGATGAGCAAACTTTTGTGCTTCGCCAGCTCCAGACAGGAAACCTCAGCAGAGACCGGCAAATGTTCCGATGGAGAACCTGCAGAGGAGATTCAGGTTTCTGAGTCACAGAGGAACAGAACACCTCATCCTCCAGAGACAAGAGGTCCACATTCCCAAACTGTCCAGTCCAGTGATGTGTGGGAATAATATTTTAATCACCTCCAGTTTGGATCAGGACTTTGGGTCCTACAGAATCAAAGAAACATTTGTTCAAATCATCTCTAACCTGTGAGGCTGTTCCAGCTGACCACCTCCCTTTGGCTCTGATGACGGACATAGAAAACCTGATCTCCATCTTTGGTGATGGCGACATGGGTGGAGCCTGCTGGAATGTGGGCTGTGGGTTTGTGGCAGGTGTCATATTTCCGATTCCACATGTGGATGGAAGCTGCAGCTGTCGAGGCCGAAATCACAAAATGATGGTAGAAGAACACCAAAGTAACAGGAGCGTTGGAGCCACACAGAGAGTCCAGCAATGCTCCAGTGGTCAAGGACCAGGTCTGCCGAGAAAAAACACAAGATTCCTTTTTACTGCCAGAAACACGGCGTCTGCTGCTTCTTAGAGAAGGGTTAGTCACCCGAACGAGCTGGTCTGCAGCTCCAGAGACCAGATGTTTGTTGTCTGCTGAGACACAGGCGGACAGAACGATGTCCTCATGCTGCAGGTCGAGGAACCCGTCCACAGAGTCGGTGTTAATGTTGAACAGGCTCAGAGTTCGCTCGCTGCCTGAGGACGACAAGAGACACGTCAGCTCAGAGGACGTCCACACAGACAAGTCGTAGGCAAGATTTATTTTTAATGTCCGAGGTGGAGAAGTCCAGACCTGCCAACAGGATGGTTTCATCCTCAGTTACTGTAAATAAAGACGGATGCAAAGGAAACTCAGCTGCAGTTTGTTCACCCATCATGGAGATCTGGTAAACAAAAACAACAATAATCAGATGTTTCATCCTGGTTTCAGTCAACTCATAACTTTTCTTCTTTTTGTTTTCTTTAAACAAGCGGACATCCAGCGGATGGAAGAAGAAGCTCACCTGATGGATGAATCCTTCCTCTGACACCACCAACACTTTCCCACGTTTGGGTAACGTCACCGCGCTCACCGGATTCAGAATCCTTGCTGGTTCCTCCAGCTGAACCTCCATACTTTGGTTTCTGTTAACTGGGTGGTAAATTCTGACCCGACTGGAGTCACAAAGAGACACCACAGAATCTTCCAGAACTCCTAGAATCACAGAGGACTCCTTCCTGCTGCTGAGGTGGATTTCAGTCCCATCCAGACTCCAAACCTTAACCTGAAATGTATCACAACTGGTGAACAACTAGGTTTATACACAACACAGAACTGAGCCATCAGGACCAGAATCAGAGACACCACAGCCCAAAGTCACACCTGAGGAGACACCACACACCCAAAAACACACCTGAGGAGATACCACACACCCAAACACACACCTGAGGAGACACCACACACCCAAAAACACACCTGAGGAGACACCACACCCTCAGAAACACACCTAAGGCGACACCACACCCTCAAAAACACACCTGAGGAGACACCACACCCCCAAAAACACACCTGAGGGGACACCACACACCCAAAAACATACCTGAGGAGACACCACACACCCAAAAACACACCTGAGGAGATACCACACCCTCAGAAACACACCTGAGGAGACACCACATCCTCAAAAACACACCTGAGGAGACACAGCACCCCCAAAAACACACCTGAGGAGACACCACACCCTCAGAAACACACCTGAGGAGACACCACATCCTCAAAAACACACCTGAGGAGACACAGCACCCCCAAAAACACACCTGAGGAGACACCACACCCCCA